CATATAGCTTTAGACTCCCCCAAAACTTGACTAATAGTCTACTGTTGACTGGAAGCCTTATTGATAACATAAACAGTTAGTAAACACATATGTTGTATGTTATATAAATTATATACTGTGTTTGTATAATAAAGTAAATTAGAGAAAAGAAAATGTTATTAAGAAAATCATAAGGAAGAAAAGAATATATATTTAAAGACAGGGTCTCACTGTCACCCAGGCTGGAGTGCAGTGGCATGATCTCAGCTCACTGCAACCTCTGCCTCCTGGGCTCAAGTGATTCTTCCACCTCAGCCTCCCAAGTAGCTGGGACTACAGTCACATGCCACCATGCCTGGCTAATTTTTCTATTATTTGTAGGGACAGGGTTTTGCCATGTTGCACAGGTTGGTCTTGAAATCCTGGGCTCAAGTGATCCACCTGCCTCGGCCTGCCAAAGTGCTGGTACGACAGGCATGAGAGAAAATATATTTTATCTTAATTAAGGGGCGTGGATTATCATGAAGGCCTCCATCCTTCTTTCTTCACATTTACTAGGCTGCAGAGGACGAAAAGGATATATTGGTCTTGCTGCCTCAGGTGTGGCAGAAGTGGAAGAATATCCACATATAAGTGGATTCACGTGGTTGAAACCCAAGTTAAGGATCAACTGTATATACTGTTCAGTTAGCACAGTATTTATATATAAGGTGCCATAAGAACAACATAAGTCTACCTAATACTTGCAGAAGCCAACAAGGAGTGGAAACAGGTTCAAAGGAACAATTCATCCCGTGTATAAGACCATCACAAACATCTTTACATTCTTATACCAATTTAATTATCCATTTATTCCCTTGATCTATGGCCACTTGAACTTTGTGATAAACTTGCACAGAGCTATTTAATATAGTAATGAACTAAATCATTCTAATTCTTCTTCATGCCAGTCACTCTCCCTTGGTATCACACTGTGAGGAGTTTTTAGTTCAATTTCTCAAATACATTTGATTACCATATGATTTATTTATATAAGATAGTTGAATTTTACTAACAAACAATACCAGTATTACACCATATCAGAGTATGGTTATGATACAGTTTGGTTTGGTTACAAAAAAATCCGGAAATGTCACAGAAATATTTATTAAACCTTTCTAGAAGAATTAGCCTTTGCCCATATGCCAGATATGAGGAGGAACAAATGCTATCACCAGTGGTAATCATTCTGTCATTTCTAGGTTCCATGTTAGCTGGGGACAAAGTCAATCATTTGTCTCAACTTATTATAAAGTTATAGGTTCCTATTAACTTTGTACAGCAAGGCCATTTCCCTCCCATGGGAGTACATGGGTATCCTTCAGTATTAGTTCTATTCCTACTAGCCTTATTTTGGCCCATCCTTTGGTCAAGATCAGTCAGAGATTAGCAGTGCAAGTTGCAATTTTACAAAACAAAACAAAAAAAATCCATAAATTTGGGGATCTGCATGTGTCTCAATGATTCTCTGCCTGAGCTTCTGCAGCTAAAAATGGAAGGCCATTACCCCCATGGCTACTTGGGGATCACTTTTAAGTAAAATAGTTAATAGATTCTGTTGTGTTAGAGTATATTCTCTTTCCCAATATTGATTCCTAGCATTCTCTAGCATTATGTGTTGGGTCTGTGTGATCAGTTTAGCAAAGCTTTATGACATTTCCAAGTGGATTCCCATTCTTTTCCCTCCTCTTGGAAGATGATTTCCTTCAAATCTATTTTAGTTAGTAAATCATTTTCCTCTGAAAGTCACTCTTCATTAAAAGTAAATTCAGCTTTTCACATTATATCTATGCCAGCTCCTATTTCACCTACAGCCCTCTTTTATTTCACTGGTCAATGTTTAATCCAACACATGGATTGTTGCTATTGAGTATTAACTACTTGAATATAGTTAGGATACATTTACTGTATCCGAAAATGTTTGGTCCTCCGTGCTAGAGTCAAGTGTATAGTAGTTACTCCTAAATGTAGTTTAATTTGTATATGCCATAAGATTTCCCATAATCTTTCTTGTCTCAAGTTAGGGTTGTCCCCGGCAGGGACACAAAACTAACTTATAAGGCCTAATATGTTATTTTCATTTATAATCCATTGATACTTTTTTGTTCTGTTTAAAAGCTTTGTATCTACAAAACAGGGATGATATGTGTTCTTACACATCACACTACAACATATGAGGTTATTCCATCTCGGGGCTCATCTGAGCATTCAGTCATCAGAATTTATGGTTACAGTTATCAGTTTCCTGACATTATATGTCATGTATCATAACCTTCAGAAGGTTATGAAATTCTTGAATATATTAAACTTGCCTAACATTCTAATGAAGCCAAATTTCCCTAACACAGTTTCATCGCCATTTCTACCAGTAAAATGGAGATAATATAGTTAAATGTTTACTGATAGTTATAATCAGCATATGCATTAAGTTCCACCTTTTAAAAATTAATACTAAGTCATGAAAATTAAATATATAAATGACATTCTAGCACTCTCAAATATTTACAAGCAAAAAGGATTATCAGCCATATATTTAATCTTTTAGTCCCCAAAGGATAAACAGATATAGTCCAGTAAGTAATTTTTAAAAGCCCCTTCAAAAGCCTTCTCCAATAGATGAGAAGTTTTAATGCTATTCTTGACCATTTCTACAGAGGTTAATTTTCATAAGATGTATTATAAACTATGAAAATTAAATGAGCAGACCAGAGCTAAATGTCCAATGAAGCTCTGTAACACCAGACAAAGTTCTTTATAAACCTTATTATTTTTTGATGGGGCTTAATGCCATGTCAATAAATTTATTATAGCACCGAGAATACAGAAACCCATGCCCCGCCATGAACATATTCAAACCAAACACTCTTGTCATTGTAACTATAACCTTTGAATAGTTAGTCACACTGGACACCAATTTCCTTCCAGCCTCGCAGATAAAAAAACAGCACAATATACAAATGTCAAATATTAACACAGTGTGATACTACTGAGTGGCCTGGTACAGGAATTTTAAACATCTTTTTGACCGCAGCTAGTATCAGGCTGAACCTGCCACCAATGTGATAAGCTGCTTCTCCAAGGAGGATAGAAGTCAATTAACTTTAAACACTGAGATAAACATCACTTATTACCATATGCTGGTATCTAATCTTTATGAAGTTTTTATAATAAAATTTCAATTTCTCATCTATTCCTAAATTAAATTAACTTTCTTGTTATATAAAAATCCTCACTGCTCCTTCCACCCCCTAAATAAATTGAATTTCTTTTCACTTATTGGAGGAAGAGGACATGAAGTGGCCAGAAATCAACTGCCTTTAGAGAAACTTCTCAGTACATATAAAAATGTATTTTCATCTGAAAGCATTAAATCCCTACTGAGCTTTCTAAAGAAGTGGCACACCATTCCGTTGTTATACTGAGAACACCTGAAGGGAGGAGGAGGTAAGAAATCATGGTGGCCTTGACTGGGGTGGAAGCAATGGAGGTAATAAGAAACAATCAAATTCTGGATATATAACGAAGGTAGAAATAACATGATTTGCTGATAGAGTTTACATGGGAGGTGAGAGAATAAAAGGAATAAACAACAATTTCAAGGTTTTTGGCCTGGGGCCAAGAGAAAATCTTTTGAAAATGGGAGCAATAATACTATGTTTGCATGTTGGTGGAAAAGATCCAGAGGAGAGGGAGAAATTGTTAAAGTAGGAGAGTGAGAGAGGGCAATTTCTGGAGTGATGTCCTAGAGTATATAAAAGACAAAAATAATCTTGTACCTGAGTGAAAGAGTTAGCCTTTGCAAAGGAACAGTTCATCCATAAAAACAGAAGACAAAGCAGGGGAATAGGATAGACTCAGATGAAGATAGATGAGAGGATGTGGAAGTATTATTGATTGCTTCAATTTTCTCAGTAAAATAAAATACAAATTGAGAGTAAAGTTGGAGGAGGTGTTGGAGAAAGGGAAAGGAACACATATGGTTAGTCAACAGTAGGAAAGTAAATGGCCACGGAAACATACTTTGATTCCTGGGTAGCATTAAGGGCCCACTCTGATTTTATGGTCACAAACTTAAAGTGAGATCAGTCAGTACAGCTGTAAATGCCTTTCTGATACTTCAGCTGTGCAAGGTACAGATATAGAGTAGGTGGGAAGTAGATTTAACCAGGGTTGGATTTGTTTTGCCAGCAACTATAACAAAGAGAAACAAGGGCCAAGGGAACTGAAGATGTATGCATGGGAGTGACCATGGAATTTAAGCTGGGTAAGGAGAAATGTGAGGATATCAGGGGGCTGAGGGGGACAATTTAATGGTGGCAGGATCAATGCCATACAACCATAGGTACTTTACTGTTCAATAATGCTTTGGTATTTTTGCTGTTGTTTCTATACCTTGTACCTTTTTATACACTGTTATAACATGGTAGAAACTATTAATATTTGACTCCATTTGAAGCCTAACAGTATATCATGCACAATTAGATCTTCTAACCTGCCTTCTCAGCCTAGTCCCTCTTCTCAGCCCCATCCCCACATGCAAATACAGACATACACATAAAATAATAGTGGTTACCTTTGGGCAATGACTATAGTTATGTTGTTATATCAGGTTTTAGGTGACTTTTTTCCTGTGCACTTTCTAATTTCTAAGTTTTCTATGTTGAGTATGAAATGTTTTTGTAATTTAGAAAAAAATGTTGATTTAAAAGAACATATGTGTTTACACCCATATATAATTAAATGCTGGATGTGCTCTCTAATGAGGTGTTACAAGATTTAATCAGGTAGGATTAAGTTCTTTGACAAATATAGAAAATAAAACATTTGAGAAGAGCTGACATACTTTAAAAACTACCAGATTTTGTAAAACATATGGGGAGATCATTGTCTAGCAAGTAAAATGTATTAAAATGTAGGACCCTGAAACAACAATTAGAATAGTAAATTTTTTGTAAATATTGGAAGAAAGGACCATCACAAACCTGCTTCCTGCTTTGAGCTCTTGCATTCCGTAGCCTTCGAGCAGAATAAAAGATAAAATAGCCCACAGTTGCTGCCGTAATAATAAAAAAGGACACAGAAACGAAAAAAATTGAATAGTGATTCACCCAAGGGCCGTGTTTTTTCCCTACTTCTATGACCATTGTCACTTGTATGCCTCTTTGAATAGATTGTAGAATTTTTGTGCCTTTCAGATTGCCGATCATGATTGCAACAATGTCTCCTGCACCTGTAAAGGAAAACAAATTCAGTTTTAGTTTGGTGAAACATTCTTAGTGTAATAACCCAATTGCTAAAATGATTTTAAATGGGTCTCAATGAGACAAAGGATGGATACTCATTCATTCAATTAACATTTTTGATCACCTACTATCTATATAAAATTTGTAGACTACATAAACATCCATGAGATTTTGTTACTGATCTTAGGGTACTCATAACTTAGTAAGGAAGCTATTATATACAACACTTCCCCCTCCTCAGATTAACTAACTATAGTTCAACAGTACTGCCTTTGAGACCGAATTTGCATCTTATATGAAGGTTTGCTTAAAGACAGATAGTCTCCTGAATTGTAGAAAATAGGGCTTGTATTATAGGGAATCTAATATTTTGGGAATACAGAAATATTTCCCAATTTATAAGATGATAAATTATCTCATGAGCTCACTACTAGCATGTATAAGGATTTACATATTGGGATAGTAATTTGAGCCAAACAATGTTTACAAATCCAAATGTACAAACTATACATACGTCCATGATGTACCATTTTTCTATATTCTCAAAAGCAATATAAAACTTGCTCAAGGTGTTCTAAGGTTTTACATGGACCTGATCAGGTTAGCAATGAAGATAACATATAGAAATGCACATTTCTATTCACTACCAATTAAAGACAAGCCTAAAATAAGACTAATCTTATTACTAAAGGTCTAATTATCTATAATACTTACCTCTGCACCAACAATTACATAAGTTTTGTGGAAAAAAATAAAGTACAAAAGTTATCTTTCCCCATGTTGTAAGAATGTCAGATTGCTCATGCCATTCCAAGGCTTATCAAGGTTTATATTCCTTCTAGTCTATATGACCCGAGACCAATAATCTTAAGCAAAGGAATAGCACTTATTTAATGTTAAGTTATAACCAACCAGGGAAACCTCCCACTGATACTAAGTTAAGGAGCTAATCTGAGTTAATGATCAAACTCCAATCTGGAATAAATACAAATACACACGTACAACTCTAAAAGGACTTTTAGAGGAAGATCCAAGATGGCTGAATAGGAACAGCTCCAGTCTGCAGCTCCCAGTGTGAGCCACACAGAAGATGGGTGATTTTTGCATTTCCAACTGACATACCGCGTGCATTTCACTGGGGCTTGTCAGACAGTGGGTACAGCCCACAGAGCAGGGCGGGGCATCGCCTCACCCAGGCAGTGCAAGGGGTCGGGGAATTCCCTTTCCTAGCAAAGGGAAGCCCTGACAGACAGTGCCTGGAAAATCGGGACAGTCCCACCCTAATACTGCACTTTTCCAACGGCCTTAGCAAATGGCACACCAGGAGATTATATCCCGTGCCTGGCTCAGAGGGTCCCACGCCCATGGAGCCTCGCTCACAGCTAGCACAGCAGTCTGAGATCGAATTGCAAGGCAACAGCAAGGCTGGGGGAGGGGCGTCCGCCATTGCTGAGACTTGAGTAGGTAAACAAAGAGGCTAGGAAGTTCGAACTGGGTGGAGCCCACCGCAGCTCAAGGAGGCCGGCCTGCCTCTGTAGACTCCACCTCTGGGGGCAGGGCATAGCTGAACAAAAGGCAGCAGAAACTTCTGCAGACTTAAACGTCCCTGTCTGACAGCTTTGAAGAGAGTAGTGGTTCTCCCAGCATGGAGTTTGAGATCTGAGAACGGACAGACTGCCTCCTCACGTGGGTCTCTGACTCCCGAGTAGCCTAAATGGGAGACACCTCTCAGTAGGGGCTGACTGACACCGCATACAGCCGTGTGCCCCTCTGAGATGAAGCTTCCAGAGGAAGGATCAGGCAGCCACATCTGCCGTTCTGCAATATTTCCTGTTCTGCAGCCTCCGCTGGTGAAACCCAGGAAAACAGGGTCCGGAGTGGACCTCCAGCAAACTCCAACAGACCTGCAGCTGAGGGTCCTGACTGGCAGAAGGAAAACTAACAAACAGAAAGGACATCCACACCAAAACTCCGTCTGTATGTCACTATCATCAAAGACCAAAGGTAGATAAAACCACAAAAATGGGGAGAAACCAGAGCAGAAAAGCTTAAAATTCTAAAAATCAGAGTGCCTCTACTCCTCCAAAGGAACGCAGCTACTTGCCAGCAATGGAACAAAGCTGGACGGAAAATGACTTTGATGATTTGAGAGAAGAAGGCTTCAGATGATCGGTAATAATAAACTTCTCCAAGGTAAAGGAGGATGTTCAAACCCATTGCAAAGAAGCTAAAAACCTTGAAAAAAGATTAGACGAATGGCTAACTAGAATAAACAGTGTAGAGAAGTCCTTAAATGACAAGATGGAGCTGAAAACCAAGGCAAGAGAACTACATGATGCATGCACAAGCTTCAGTAGCCGATTCAATCAAGCGGAAGAAAGGGTATCAGTGATTGAAGATCAAATGAATGAAATGAAGCAAGAAGAGAAGTTTAGAGAAAAAAGAGTAAAAAGAAATGAACAAAGCCTCCAAGAAATATGGGACTATGTGAAAAGACCAAATCTACGTCTGATTGGTGTACCTGAAAGTGATGGGGAGAATGGAACCAAGTTAGAAAACACTCTTCAGAATATTATCCAGGAGAACTTCCCCAACCTAGCAAGGCAGACTAACATTCAAATTCACAAAATACAGAAAATGCCACAAAGATACTCCTTAAGAAGAGCAACTCCAAGACACATAATTGTCAGATTCATCAAAGTTGAAATGAAGAAAAAAATATTAAGGGCAGCCAGAAAGAAAGGTCGGGTTACCCACAAAGGGAAGCCCATCAGAGTAACAGCAGATCTCTCAGCAGAAACTCTATAAGCCAGAAGAGAGTGGGGGCCAATATTCAACATTCTTAAAGAAAAGAATTTTCAACCCAGAATTTCATATCCAGCCAAACTAAGCTTCATAAGTGAAGGAGAAATAAAATCATTTACAGACAAACAAATGCTGAGAGATTCTGTCACCACCAGGCCTGCCTTACGAGAACTCCAGAAGGAAACACTAAACCTGGAAAGGAACAACCAATACCAGCCACTGCAAAAACATGTCAAATTGTAAAGACCATCAATGCTAGTAAGAAACTACATCAACTAATGAGCAAAATAACCAGCTAACATAATAATGACAGGATCAAATTCACACATAACAATATTAACCTTAAATGTAAATGGGCTAAATGCTCCAATTAAAAGACATAGACTGGCAAACTGGATAAAGAGTCAAGACCCATCAGTGTGCTGTATTCAGACGATCCATCTCAAGTGCAGAGATACACATAGGCTCAAAATAAAGGGATGGAGGAAGATCTACCAAGCAAATGGAAAGCAAAAGAAAGCAGGGGGTGCAATCCTAGTCTCTGACAAAACAGACTTTAAAACAACAAAGATCAAAAGAAACAAAGAAGGTCATTACATAATGGTAAAGGGATCAATTCAACAAGAAAAGCTAACTATCCTAAATATATATGCACTCAATACAGGAGCACCCAGATTCATAAAGCAAGTCCTTAGAGACCAACAAAGAGAGACTTAGACTCCCACACAATAATAATGGGAGACTTTAACACCCCACTGTCAACATTAGACAAATCAAGGAGACAGAAAGTTAACAAGGATATCCAGGACTTGAACTCAGCTCTGCATCAAGTGGACCTAATAGACATCTACAGAACTCTCCACCGAAATCAAGAGAATATACATTCTTCTCAGCACCACATCACACTTATTCCAAATTGACCACATACTTGGAAGTAAAGCACTCCTCAGCAAATGTAAAAGAACAGAAATTATAACAAACTGTCTCTAAGACCACAGTGCAATCAAACTAGAACTCAGGACTAAGAAACTCAATCAAAACTGCTCAACTACATGGAAACTGAACAACCTGCTCCTGAATGACTACTGGGTATGTAACGAAATGAAGGCAGAAATAAAGATGTTCTTTGAAACCAATGAGAACAAAGACACAACATACTAGAATCTCTGGGACACATTTAAAGCAATGTGTAGAGGGAAATTTATAGCACTAAATGCCCACAAGAGAAAGCTGGAAAGATCTAAAATTGACAACCTAACATCACAATTAAAAGAACTAGAGAAGCAAGAGCAAACACATTCAAAAGATAGCAGAAGACAAGAAATAACTAAGATCAGAGCAGAACTGAAGGAGATAGAGACACAAAAAACCCTTCAAAAATTAATGAATCCAGGAGCTGGTTTTTTGAAAAGATCAACAAAAATGATAGAGCACTAGCAAGACTAATAAAGAAGAAAAGAGAGAAGAATCAAATAGACGCAATAAAAAATGATAAAGGGGATATCACCACCAATCCCACAGAAATACAAACTACCATCAGATAATACTATACACACCTCTACACAAACAAACTAGAAAATCTAGAAGAAATGGATAAATTCCTGGACACATACACCCTCCTAAATGTAAAGCAGGAAGAAGCTGAATCCCTGAATAGACCAATAACAGTTTCTGAAATTGAGGCAATAATTAATAGCCTACCAACCAAAAAAAGTCCAGGACCGGACGGATCCACAGCCAAATTATACCAGAGGTACAAAGAGGAGCTGGTACCATTCCTTCTGAAACTATTCCAATCAAAAGAAAAAGAGTGAATACTCCCTAATTCATTTTATGAGGCCAACACCATCCTGATATCAAAGCCTGGCAGAGATACAACAAAAAAAGAAACTTTTAGACCAATATCCCTGATGAACATTGATGCAAAAATCCTCAGTAAAATACTGACAAACTGAATCCAGCAGCACATCAAAAAGCTTATCTACCATGATCAAGTTGGCTTCATCCCTGGGATGCAAGGCTGGTTCAACATATGGAAATCAATAAATGTAATCCATCATATAAAGAGAACTAAAGACAAAAACCACATGATTATCTCCATAGATGCAGAAAAGGCCTTTGACAAAATTCAACACCCCTTCATGCTAAAAACTCTCAATAAACTAGGTATTGATAGAACATA